AGTAGACCGTTCAATCAACAGGCTCTTGGAGTAATATATCTGTCAGATGTCGACGTCGAAGAACAAAAAAATTGCACTGAGAAGATGTGAGCAGGAGAAACAAACAAATTTGTGGGAAAGACTTTCGAACAGATCCCTTAGCAAGGCACGGCTCAACTGCTGGTTAATTACATGATACAAGAGTACAAAAGACATATTTAGGCGCGCTTAGTGGATAGCCGGGACAAGGTGGCGCCAGGGATTCAAGACCTCGCTCAGGAAACTGTCTACGAACGATGCAAAGGGACTATGATGATAGGTAGGTATATCAAGCAAATATTCTATGCTAGAAGAAGTCCATGAGCAACCGGATGCGAAGAATAAAAGGACGAAGTACTTCAACATCACGGCGGTTTTCCCTACGTCGGTCGACGCGGTTGAGCCGAGGCGAATTAGCGTTGACAAGAATCCCTCTCAGACATTCTTATCCGAAGGATGCGGGGTTCTCGTCGTTCAATACTTAGGCGTCTTCGCCCAGTAAATTATTCAATGGGCTCGGCCTATGGAGGAGTCAAAGACGCTGTCACAAAATGGAGTTGCACGGAGTCCCGTTGTCCCACTAGTCGCTACTTGTGTTGTGCTCGAATGGCACGGGCTCAGGGGCGTCCAGATGGCGAGCGTGCTCCCAAATTTGTACACGAATGGCGACTCGAGAGGGCCTCCGCAACCATCACCAGGTGGAACTGCTCGTGAACCGGAGTATTGAAGCCGGCAAATGGATGAGTAAACACACGGTAGATGAATGAGCGTATGGGTGGGAGATGGTGGCAGTAAGAGGACAAGAGGCGTTGAGGCCGTGCGGCTGACAAGGGCTTTGAGTTGAGGCCCCAGCTGTTTGTTCGCAGCAAACAAATAATTTTCTGAGCCCCGAAGGCGGTGTGACGTCTCGTGGGTCGTTTTCAGTAGCCAGTGTAAGTTTATCCACAGTGGTATTTTTTAAAACACCTTTCTCAAACAGTCTGGAGGGCATAAAAGTGTCCCCTCTGTTACTGGTGCTCTGTGTATAATTTTAGTTGTAAGTAAGGTTCCAGTGGACGTGATTTGGGACTAGAAGCGTAGTCTGTAGAAAGCAAAAGTTAAGATTCAACCACAGGTTGACTTTTCGGGCCGAACTTGCATCGGTGACGTGATGATCAATCACTGATGTGTGGCTGTCCTTTTCCTGATTTTTTTTCTGTTTCCTTCGTCAACTGAGTCGATTGTCCTTCTCCTCGTTTCTCGTCCTGGCCGACTATCGCTCGACTGAAAATAGCTTGAGGGCTCGCTATTAGTACTAATGCCTGCCCACCACAGCTGAATCACAGGGCCGGATCCTTTGTCAATGCAGTCAGTGGTGGCAGCATATGCCCGCACCTACACCTCGTGTAAGCCTGCATACCTTTCTCATCCCCGTCTCCCTCCCACCACCACCTGTCATGATTACACCGTTTTAAATTAGACTACGAGTGCTCGTTGCGCCGAGAGTTAAAACCGCTGCAATATTTTGTAGCTGAACCCCCCTTGCCCTCCTCCTCCGTTTCTATGTCGAGGGAACGATTGCTGACTACTGCTTGCTTCCTAGGTTGGCGGCCCAGACCCTTGTGGTGCGATGCGCGGAGGAACGGGGTATGGATAAGACTGTGGATAACATCATTCCGTCTCTACACGGAGCGCCGTTACTTCATATATGTACATTGGCACCGTTACACATCCCCGTTCGAATGCAACAGTATTTGCCGTGATATGTGCAGGGTGTCGACAACCCCCCGTCGACGAATTGGTGGTCCTGGGTGCGCGTCCAAAACAGCGGCCCAGAGTCAGAACCTCTCTTCCCGAATTTTATAATTGAGACAAACTGGTACCGTACCATCGAACTTTTGGGCTCTGCATGCCGCGCGCGTGCCAATGATTTGACAATGATTGTACGAGGATTGTGTGTTGGACTTGAACGCCTCGTCGTTCATCTGCTTTGGGCGAAATGTGCCGGCGCTTTGCTCGGGCTGCTTTGCTGCGTGTTTATTAAGTATGCCCGATCCTGGATTCGCGACGTCGAGAACAACGACTCTGAAATGGATGGGCACGGTTTCGATTTTGACATTGAATAACAACAAGGCATAGTACAGCTGGGATAGATTTCTATGTCTACTCTATCTATTATCAATATGTCCCTCTTGCTCTCAATCTCCTCGCCCACCGCCCCTCAGGCTTGCCCTGCCCGTTCTCGCCTCCTCGCCTCCCATCGAAGTAGCCATCCTCCCCATTCCCATTCCCGTCCCCATCCCTCTCCCTCTCCCCATCCCTCCCCATCCCCCCGCTCAACTCAACCAACTGCTCCGAAAACTCGCGATACCGCCGAATCGTCGCCGCCCTCGACAGCTCGCTGCCCAACGGCTGCGGCAGCACGGGCCGCGCCGGGAACGCCGGCTCCCGCCCGCGCTGCAGCGCGGGGATCGCCTGGTTGTACAGCGCGTAGGGCGACTCGGCGGCGAGGGACAGCGCCAGCGCGGCGTGCAGGGAGGAGTCAGAGTGCGCGCGGCTGAGGCGCGGGAACGCGGGCTCTTCGTCGGAGGGGGGGAACGACGGCGAGGGGGGGAAGCCCACCATACTGCGGCGCACGGAGAGCGGATACAGCCCACCCCCGCCCGCGGTGAGCGGCCAGACGGTCATGGATGTGACCTCGGAGAAGCGTCGACCTGTGCGGGGCGTGGGGTTGTCGATCGGCGCCACGAAGACGAATGGTGTGTGTGGCCCTGCGGATGGCGCACCGCGGTCCGCGTCCGCGACGAGGACGAACGGCGAGGCGGGGAGCGAGCTCGCTTGGCGCGCGGGCGGCTCCTCCTCGAGGTGCAGCGTGCGCGGGCGGTGCCGCCGCGTGAAGCTGATTGAGCGGAAGAGGGCGCGCGGGATCGGCGCGCCCGCGAGGGCGTCCACGTTCGCGGACGCGGGCTCCGTCTCGAACGCGGCGCCGAGGATCTGTTTGAAGCTGGTCGGCGGGACGTGCCGGAAGGCGCTCGGCGGGGGCGCGCCCGGCGGTGGGATGAGCGGCGCGCCGTTGTCGACGGAGGGGTTGTACATGCGCGGGGTCAATGCGGAGACTTCGTGCCATTCCGCGTCATCTGCCTCTGTGTCGGTGCCAGCGCCCGGGGAGTCCTTTGAGCGCTTGCGGGCGAAGAGGGACTTGGCCATTGCGACGGAGGAGGAGGAGACGGTGCGGCTGAGGCGGGAGCGCTGCTCCCGGATGGGGGGCAGGGAGGGGAGGGGTTTGGTAGGACTGGGGTCCACCATGGCTTGTACTGGCGTTGTTCGACCAGAGGATGGGAGGCTGAAGACCGCCCGGGCGCGGGCCTTTTTGGCGGAGCTTGAAGCGGACATGTAGCCCTCGTCCGACTCGTACCCATCGCCCGGCGAGCTGGGCGAGCTCGCGCTCGAGGACCCGCTAGACTTCCTCTTGGACAACCGTATCCGCTTGGGAGAGAAGTTGAGGCCAAAGGACTTGATTGAAGACGATGGGCGTGCTTTTCTCGGCGTGGTCTTCGCCGGAGATACCTCCGCATCAGACTCGACGTGAAAGCCATGTCTGCCCCTGGCCCCGTTGGCGAACCGGATAGTGTCCCGAGGTGAGCGCCAGGTCACCTCGTCGGGGTCTGGCAAGACGAAGTTTGGGTCGGCGAAGAACCAGTCCGCGACGCGACTGTTCTCTTCCAACCCACCGAGCTCGAGGAAGACGTCGTACACCGATGCGCGGATGGCGTTCGAGTCCCTGTTGGAGGGCATGGTGGAGGGAGAAGGCAAGGTGTGCAGGACAAAGGCTGGGAAAACACGCCTATACCCTGCGCGCAGAGATCAACGAGTTAGGTCACCGCTCGACATGTCTTCGGTTTCCTTGACGATTTTCAGAGCTCTAATTGTCCCGCTTGACGCGAGTAACACGCCCCACAAAGTATCCATCCCGAGTTGACCGAGGCTAACCAAGTCGTCGCAAGAGCAAAGAGGACGTGCGAGCGTCGACATGACTCGAGTGAAGGAGAAGGAAATTGCCATTTCGGGGCTTTTGGACGCGAATTACTTCCGCGGGCTCGTTCCCGCATGCCCCACCCAGCCTGGTTCCATCGAGATATGAGTCGCTGTTGTAGGACGGTGGTCGTCGAGACCCTGCAGTCGTATCACGGAAAACACTGTCTCATTCGATACGGGATTATGCAACGATGGATTCATCGAATAAAGGGACTCGACAACGGCAACGTACGGACTACTGGCCAGAAGGGAAGAGAAGTTGGAGTTCAAAAGCTTTGACTCACGGGTAACCATATCCATTACCGTGGGCAGAACCCTTCCTCCGCCCATCGCACCGCCGCCCCCAATCGATACGCCCGTTGTGGGTACAGACCTATGGAGGAGAGTTGTCAGCAATCGGAATAGAGATGATCGGAGAAAGAAGAAGGGAGGGAGGAGTTCAGCTACAAAATATTGCAGTGGTTTTTAACTCTCGGTGCAACGAGCACTCGTAGTCTAATTTAAAACGGTGTAATCATGACGGACAGGCGGTGGGAGGGAGGCGGGGATGAGAGAGGCATGCAGGCTTACACGAGGGGTGGTCGCGACGGACACGGGTGCGGGCACTACTGCCACCGTTGACGGAGGCTGCACTTGGAAAAAAAGATCCGGACTGATTCAGCTGCGGTGAACGCCGAAGCCGGGCGAGAGCATCGAGTGCTCGATTCAGTTGGGTTCGAGCGCAAACTTGGCTAACGGGAGGCGAGAACGCGGGGCGTTGAATGGACGACGTGGAGGAAAGGAACAAGAAAAAAAAATTGGCGACGTACAGCCACGCATCAGTGATTGATCATCATGCTCGCTGCCGGCTCGGCCAGAAAGCCAACGACTCTTGCAGCAATATTTTTGTGCAGAAAAAGGCACCAATGCGATGAGACTATACGCGTGAACATGAGACGAAAGAAAAAAAGCCAAGTGACCCTGGTCAATGGTCTGACCCCGAATTGAACAGGGAACTTCCTCATCAGATTCTGTGGAAGGGGAACGGAAAGAGGACGTGTTAAAATTACACCATCAGACCTATGCTACGCTCTCTCATTTGTTCCCATAATAGTAGTACTCAGCCAGACCTATTATTGTTATTACTTACACAACGCGCGACCAGTGGATCATGGATCACGGTGTGCAAATTGGCTTCAACTCCTAGTCCTGAATCCCTTACGGTCGGCCAGTGAATGCAGCAGCACATATCTGGTTCGGGCCTTTACGCCCAGGCTGCCGTGGAGATTTGATTTGAATCCGAATTTTCAGCAGGAAAAGCGACAGAACAGCAAAACCAACATAAGAAACAACAAGAAAAGGTGCACAGGGCACATTGTGAGCAGCATTTACCGAGCAAGATACAAGATGGCCTGGAGAAGAATCGGAACGAAACTCTGCCGACGCGGAATCGAACAGGGGATTTCCTTCAACACGCCAGGCTTTGTAACTGAGAGAGAAAGTGTTACAGTACCGGGCCTGGCTTTAAAGTGCCCTGTGATGCGTATACCATTCAGACAAAAAAGAAGTGGGTAGAACAAGGTAAATGAACGAATACAGCAGCTAAGTACTTACTACTTCGCAGCAGAATGTATTAGCACAAGATCGACTCTGTTCTTCAGATCCGCGACATTATCATCCAAATTCAGCGGCGTGCGGCACCCGTCCACAACGAGTGCAAGCACGCACTCCGCCACTGCACCCTTAGTCTTCCGGCAGACGCGCTCCAGGACCTCGCGCAGAGGCGTGTCTTTCGTTCTATTCACCTAGGGCTTGAACATGATACTGAGGGTTGTGGAAGGAATCGGCTTACACAAAAACCGCAATAGATGTGAGCCCCGACGTGTTGATCCTCACTCGGAGCACCACTTTGTCTGATGGAAATGGCGTTGGGCGTATGCCAACGTCTTCCGACACGTCCTTGGGCAGCGGGCGAGAAAAGTTGGCGATCGACTTCCTCCTGCCCTCCGGATAAGATTTGAGCAGTTTCGCCCACTCGGGCGGGAGACCCTAGGTTCCATTATCGGGCACAGATTGAAACGACTAGGGAGAGAACGCACGGTATAGTTGTTGCCAGTAGGATCCCTGCCGACATGGACGTTGTGGCGGAAGCTACGTGGGTCCGGTTCGCTAACGCCCGTCATGTGGTAGAGAATTGCATCCTTCCAGCCTGTTCGACAAAGTTAATGGACGGCGCGGAAGGAACGGCGAGCGATCAACGCACCGTATAGATCACTGTCGTTCTTGAACCGCAGCATATACCTCTTCCCCCACGTCTCAAGAATGAGCGCGTGTGGCTCGAGTTCCGAGCGTTCCAGGCTCGTGATATCAGACACGGGTATAACGGCTTGTGCGGCCTTGTTCTGCGAAATAAATCATTGAGAATCATACTTGGAGGTGAGGATCGTTGAACATACTGCCGAGACATGCAAACTCAGTTCCTTATCTGACAACACAAGCCAGTTCATGGAGATCCAGCCTCGGAGGGTCATTGGGGAGCCGATCTCGTTGACGCGGACAGGCCCGCCGCGGGCTGCCCCCGGCTTTTCGTGGTCGTTTAGCCCGAATGCAGATTTCTTCTCGTCGCTCCTGAAAGCAGAGTACGGCGGCGGGGCTTCGTGTCGACGTCGACGGCCACCAAAATGGACATGGAACCGAAATTGGATGTCAACAGAGCAGAGCCCAGTGGAGTGGTGCTCTTCGAGAGGCGCGGGAATTGGAGGGGAGGACATGAGGGCAGGAGCGTCGGCCAACTGGCTAGATATAGTTACCGTTGAGGTCATATGTCCGGAACTAGGTGCCTGGTCCCAGCCTCTGAGATACACAAGCGATACAGCTATTCGCCATAGTTACTCGAGCCCCGCAGCGCAAACGATGCCCGCCATGAGCCGTCAGGGGATTGCTGTGAAGCTGTAGACAATTGGAATCGTGGAGGTTTCGAGGCACCATGGCTGCAATCCGGACACTTTGAGGCCCGACAGAGTCCGGTGCACGCTCCGGTGTCGACGGCGACGGAGAGACAAAAGACACGGGTACCGTGGCAGCGCTGCCTTTTGTCTAGTAGGATGCAGATGTGCTGTAGATTCAGATGGAAAACTTGTTGTCTTGGGCTGAGCATGGAGGTTGGAACCAAGCGACATCGGGGTTGTTGATCGGACGTGATCTGTCCCGACGCGGGCACGTGACTCAATGGCACAGCTGAAATCCGGCGCGTCGAATGCCAATTAGCGGCGAAAACTATTATTCGTGCGGAATGGCACAGTTTTCATCTCAAAAGAGGCCTACACTCCGCCAATAACCCATCCATTTCTTCACATCCTCCTCTCCCAGCCAGTAGGTCGGACTCGTCGCAGAACGCAACGTCTTGGAGGCCTTCAATGCATTGGACATCTCTAGTTTCGGAAAGCCGAACGCATTGTGCTCTTCACTGGTGTGGCGATCTGCAGACTGGAAGAAGCCCAAAAGGCGTGGTGCACGGAACGGTTTCTCTGTCTTCGCGGCATTCTCCAAGCGTGTTAACCAGTCCGCGTACGGCACAAGAGGAACACCGAGGTCGTTGGCGATGACACTCGCAATGTTCAACCAAGGCACGGGATTTGGATGAATCAGGTGGAGGAGTTTGGCCTCCGGAGCGTCGAGAAAGTCGACAATAGCAGCTGCGGCTGTGTGCACCGGAATCCAGGAAATGTTCTAGATTCAATCCGCGTCAGTCGGTGATATCTCAACACACATGTTGGCACACGCACTCTACTGTCATTGGGAATGCATTCCAGAATTTTGGCGCTCTGAACGAGCGCCGGTACCCATTCTTGAGCGTTCCAAGCGCCGTTTATTCCGCCGGAGAGCTGCCCGACGCGGACAACCAATGTTTCGCACGGTGTGCAGTCGGCCGCTTTGGCCAGGAGTTGCTCGGCAATCCATTTTGGCTCCTGGTACCCACTTCCGAGCGCAACCTCCGGATCGACCAGCGTCTCTGGGATAGGGTTTTTACTGTGAACATCTGGGCATGCATATGAGGGCGGCTCTAATGATGACCAGACTTGGCTTACTATGCAAGATTCCGATGCTACTTGCATAAAGCAACCTCGGGGGTTGGGAAAAAGGCGATCCCAACGAAAAATCGACGAGTTTACGAACCCCGCGAATATTGGGCTCGAAGGAGCGCAGCGCAAGGTTGAAGTCGACTGGCCAGGCTAACAAAAAGCATGTTCAGCAATTCGTGGAAGGTCCTAGTCGAATTTCTGACCAGTGTGGATAATATGAGTTACTCTCTGCTGCATCTGTACACCTTGACGTCGGATTTGAGCATCAATATTGAACCATGGACTCACCTGTCGATAGACAGAGTCGTCGAGGTCGAAACGAGTTTTCCCAATTTCCCCTTCAAGAAGCACAAGCTTGGGCAAATCCAAAATGCTAACATCCAGACCACGGTCGAGCAGGGCAAGGGTTTGTCTTTCACGCAAGGCGGGTTGCTGAACAGCTAGTCGGTTGAGGGCGTAGACTTGAGCTACATTGTCGTCTGCGAGCAGCCGCGACAATAAATAGCAACCAAGTTCGCCGGTCGTTCCAGTGATCAGAACCACTTTTGCCGTGGCTGGAGGCATTTTTTTTTCTCCGCGGTGAGTTGGGAGATTATGCGTGTATTTTCCCACCATCTCATGCATCGCACTGGTCTTTGACACGGCAGAGGCTGCCGCGTGTTGGGTTCCAGATGCAATGCCGAAGATGTAGTCCGCAAGCCGAGAAATGGTTGGGTGATCATACACGAAGTTGTGTGTGTGGTGGCGCGTATCAAGCTGTGCTGAGTCGCGCAACGCATGCAGCAGGGAGTTTCGGATCCATGTAGCTTGTAGGCTGTCACAGCCGTGTTGGAATATGTCGCCGTCATCGTTGACTTTGTTGGGCATGACATTGAGCACAACGTCCCGGACAAAGTCGAGTGTGGAAAGTGGATCCCAAGCTTCCAGACGTCGAGCGCCGGCTTGAGTTGTCTGCTCCACGGTGCTGTACAGTTCAGCGATCTCGGATTCGTAGTCATCAATTATGGCTTGGCGTCGCGCGGTATTCTTGGCTGTGTAAGTGAATCTATATAACGTTGCCATGGGGGTTGGAAACGGCGCAGTACAAACTCACGGCTTGGTAGGTTGTGAGACCAAAATCATCTTAAGTACGGTAGGGTTCTCTCAGGTTCATCTGGAACCACACATGGAAGATTCGCACCTCTTTGAATATTCTTGAATGTTGCGGAGAAAACAAGTTCACCTTTTGAACGGTTGGCCTGAAAGAATTTAGCCCACGAAATGTCCGCAATGCAGCGCGAAAGAACACACCAAATAAGGTTCCGGAACTCAGCTAGTTTGACCAAGTCTAATGGATCAATCTTGTAAGCTTCGTTAGGGTCGACAACGACCCCAGCTTGGAATCGTCCTCGACCGAACATCACGGCAGACAGCACATGCGGATCTTGATTCAAAATATTTTCTGCAAATGCGTGAGCTTCAAGCAACGAAAGCTACAAACACACAGCTACCCAACGGCCCAGGATTCGTCTACAGTGGGGTATGGATTAGATTGGGCATTGCTGGGGAGTCACGCTAACCTTCTCTCCGGTGTTGTGAATAATCTGGTCGTCACTCCGTCCATATATCTTCCAGTACCCCGGCTTCGTGGGGTGCGGCAACAATAAATCGCTAGTAGCATACGCATCTATACCGCGTATCTGCGTGTTCAAGACAGCCGGCCGACAGAATTCATTCATCTGGGGGCCAGAACTCAGAAGTCCATGATGTCGACCGGATGTAGAAAATGTTACGCACAACCATGACAAGTTCGAAGGTCTCGTTTCCATGAGGGATCATTTCTGGGGTGACCAACCCTGGAAACTTGAAGTAGTCCCAGTCATACCCGACCTCGGCTGCGTATCTTTCAGTGATTTGAACAGACACCGCATCTCGACGACTTACCCGGCAGAATCGGGCTCATGATACCGCCCTCGGAACTGATGATCTTATTGTACAAGCCGGATTCCGCGAGAGAAAG